ACTTCTGAGAAATGACACAAAACCCTGCTACAATATCTGGCAGAAATTGGTTACAAGAAAGAAACTGGTTTTGCAAATTTCTTGGAGCTACTGGTTTCTATAGAATCTGGAACCTTGAGTTCACAAGAACAATGATGCTCACTCAGACTCTCAGCCCCTGGGAGTAACCAGAGTCCCTCCTGTGCAAATGTTTGGATTCAGTTACTAAGGGCTGTCACCCCCCCCCTTTGCCTCCATGCTCTAACAGCCACTGTCCCTCTAATCAAGAAAGCTGACACAGTCACCTTAGACTGAGATCTAACAGTCCAGGTGCCACATGCTGTACTGGGATGAACGGTTCTAAAAAATGGACCTTTTACAGATGCTGAGTATACCCTGTTTACAGATAGAAGTAGCTCTCTTACGAATGAAGTTCAACAGGCTAGATATGCCCTGGTCACCTTGAACAAAACTACTTTGGCCAAAACTCTCCTGCAGGGATGATCTGCACAGCAAGTTGCTTCTTAGTGCTGTATGGAAACCTGAAAATTGCTTCTTACTTCTGTATGGAAACAGAATAATCTGGTCCAGAGGCCTAAGCCCCCTCCAGGGATCCAATTGGCTGAAACGTCAACCCCATCCAGAAAAATTTTATCCAGTATTTCTGGAAGATCACAGGCAGACCTGCCCTCACTGTGTGTTCTGCAAGCTCAAGCTGCAGCACTGGCACCCATACCCCTGCAGCCAGCTCAGGCTTCAGTGTCTGTGTCACAAGTTTCAGAAACCCAGCCTTAGATCTGCTGGGAAACTTACCTGGACAGCTCTTCTAAGGCTCACTCTAAAGAGACAACACACTCAAAGCCTTGTTCTGGTCACTCTGGACACTGATCAGTTCACACACAGCTAAAGACTGAAGACCTTGTTCACAGGATTGCTCCATACCTATCCCCCATGATTTTTGTGTTTTTCAGGCTTTCCCTGGTCCCTGCTTCCCTGCTCTCCCTGCTAGCTGTGGTTCTTGTTAACTGACCTGGATTCTGCTTACCCCAGTCCTTGCTTTCCCACCTACTGCTAGCTATGGTTCTTTTTTTTTTTTTTGGCCTTAAATTCTATGGACAGTTGCCCAGAAAATAGGACAATCAGTCAAACACTTGACCAAGATTTGATGAGTGTCCAAGACACACTGGACACTCTCCTAGATCAGATTAACTCCCTCACTACCTTGCCAGAGTAATGTTACAGAACAGACAGGCCTAAATTATGTCTCTTCCTAAAAGCAATTTAGGGAAAAACTATGTAAAAAGACAATCTTGGGGACTTAGTCTAGAGCCCATCCTAGGATCACTGACAACCCTAATGTTACTACTTCTAGTTGGATCTTGTCTCAAAAGATCTCCCATAATATGCCCAGAGAAGATTTGCCAGGGAAACTAAAAGAGGGCAGAAATGTAGCAGAAAATGTCCCCCCTGGCCAGTATGCTTCAGGTTCTTAGTTGCCCAGGAAATAGTTCCTGTTCCAGTTCCAGCTGCTTCTGTTTCTTAGAAATGGCTGGTCACTGTGAGGAATAGATGTGGTAGCTGTGTGGGTACAGACTACTTTCTGGGGACCTCAGCCCACACTGGATGAGAAGGTCGTGATGTGTGAGCAGCTCCTCCAGACCAGGTGCTTTGGATGTGGTTCTGTGACCCTGCCAGGAGGAAGGAGCCATGGCACTGTATCCACTCCCCACTGGGGTCCCAGGTCCCCTTGGTGTTCCCCATCGGGGGCAAGGACTTGAGGCTAGAGGCACTGATTCTGAGAGAACGAAGAAGATTGAGCCCCACCAGGGCCACCTGGGAGCCGAGGATTCAGAGCTAGGAGGCAGACATTTCTCCCCACTGTCATGTGGCTCCAGCTTTAACTCTGAGCCCAAGGTGGGACCATGATCCTATAGTTAGTTGGAACAAGAAAAATAGAGCAAGCCTTTGAGTCATTGTGTGAAGACAGCTTGGGGAAGGCAGGGCGGGTGCTACAACATGCTATGTAGAAAGACTTTATTAGACAGAGTGGGTTTGCGATGGATTATGTAAGCATGATGAGGCATAGTCAGTTTTTAAAATTACTCTTTGCTTTCAAGCTAAAGAATGATGCCTTATTAACAGTGATGTGAAAATTAGTTATGTTCAGTCTGTTTGTCCAAAAACAAGAAAGAAAACTAAATCTCAGCAAGCAGTACTATCTATGTGCACAGATTTACAGGCGGGGGGAAAACCACTGCCTCTTCATGGTGTCACTTTATGGTGCTATCCCTCAGGTAACTTACCACAAAGTTTAAAAATGTATTTTAGGTTTGCGAGGCAATTAGATGAATAGAGCCTAATTTTAACCTGAAAATGTTATCTCACCTGACAATTACAGTCCCCACTTATCCCATTGCTATGAAATAAACTGACACGGTGGGATACACCTCTAATCCTGGTTACTAGGGAGGCTAAAGCAGGAGGTTTGCAAGTTCTAGGCCAGCTTACAAAACTTAAAAAGGCTTTATCTCCCCCACTCAAAAAAAAATTATGAAAGGACTGAGGTTTTATCTCAGTGGTAGAGCACTTGGCTAACATGCATGAGTCCCTGAGTTAAATCACTAATATAATAATAATAATAATAATAATAATAACAATAGTAATAGTCACATTTTATTTTCACACTTCTCCAAATATCTACCCCGGCCTTTTCTACTCCATGAACTCACATTAATCACTTCTAGCTCTGTTCCAGGTGGAGCAACCTCTAGTCCCTTGAAGGAAGAAGGAGTATGGATGAAGCCTAGGGACTGTAGGCCCTTCTTGGATGGGGGCAGCCATGCACCCTTAGTCCATCTAGCAAGTGGGACTGAAGGGAAGAAATCCACATCTGCAGCTGCCTTAGGACAGCTCCTGAATCCACTATGGAAGCCCACGCGGTTACTATACCTTACATGGTTACATCTGTTCCTTACAAACCATCATCAGAAAAACCACGCTCATTTTCCACCTCCATTCTTCCCCAGCTAGAGAGAAAAGGGGGTGTTTTTGTTCTGGCCTGTGTCTGGGGCCTTGTGCCTCCTGCCCATTTGGCAGGGGGTGGTGAGAAGGGGACTAGAAATCATAGGGTGCTGGGAATGTAGGCTGTGCTCTGCCAGGCCTGCTGTGCACTGGGTAGAAGGAACAGGGATCTTCTTCACACAGGAGGAGACTGTTGCAAGATGGGTATGTATCAAGCTGGGATGACCTGTTCCACTGCTGATGTACAATACAGGTATGTACTTCTGTACAGCTGCAGAGAAAATCACACAAGTCAGAGCAGGTGGGAGAACACAGATACTGGAAAAGGAAAAGATGGGAGAGAGAAGGCCTTCCCCAAGAAAGGCACTGAGAGGCACTACCAGAGAGTGGGAAAGGAGGTAAGGGGAGAGCCCAGCCTGGTGCCTCTGTGGTCAGCCCAGGCTTCCTCAGGGCCACAGGATGAGGCATGGGTCCAGAAAGAAATCAGTGGGCCTGAACTACAGGCCCCAGCACAGAAAAGCCACCCAGCTCTCTGGATGGCAGCAAAGGCAGCAGATTCTGGTCTCTCCAGGAAAATTTATTAAGGTCGGCTGCCCAGTGGGAGACTTACAGCCTGTACGATTCATTTCCTAGAAGGGACAAGTGCAAAGACAGCAGAGTGCAGCTCTACCATCCAGAGATACAAAATATGACCTGCATGTGAGAGGAAACCTCAGGAGGTTTTTTGTTTGTTGGTTTGTGCTGGATATGACTGAGCATTATTGGAGGAGATTTTCTCTTCTGATTTTTAAAAATTACTAAAGATCTAAGTTGTGATAAAAGATTCTTCCTGGGAGTTGATGTCAATTTGGCTGAAGCCGCTGTTGCGTGCTTGCTGAGAGAAATGTTCGTTTTTTGAGTCAGGAACACTGAAGGCGGAACACTTGCATTGTGTGTGAGAGGCGTAGGAGGCAACAAAATAGACCCTGCGTGTGGGGAACAGGCAGGGATTGTGCAGCTGCCCATCTGGGTCTGCCTGGGGGAGGCGTGTGGGCGGCAGGACACAGTGTGAGCTCCCACCCACTCGCCGCCACACCGTCCAGACCCCCCTGGCTTGGAATCCTTGCACTGGAAGGCTTGTCCTGGGCTGAGTGCTCTCTGACCTGCAAAGCTTCTCATGAGAGAAAAGGGGATGGACGCCCCTCTTCCTCCACCACACTGGCCATCTGGCTGGACACTGGCTCTCATTCTGAACATGCAAATATTCCACCATCCGAGAAAATCCACATTCAAAGCACTTCTGATCCCAAGCATCTCAGATGAGGGATATTCAACCTGAACACATTTGGGGACTGGAGCAGCTGATATTTCACAACCTGCCTGCAGCGTCCAGACTAAACAAAGAGAGAGAGTTGTTGACAGGTCTCAAAAAGCACACTCTTGATGTGCTTCCCAGCTAGAAACAGGAAGGCCTGAAAACCAAGCCAAAATGCAACTTCAAGGCATTAAGGACTGAGCTGAGCTTAAGTCCTCAAACTGAGAGTTCTTATTCATGACACAAGAGAACAACGAAGCTATTTTTTTACCAACAATAAGAAAAATCAAAAGTCATTTATGTAAACATAAGATTTTCTCACCTAAAGAACTAAAGAAAATTGTGTCATTTTGTGCTGGAAGCAAGGTCTCCAACTTCTCCTTTTTATAAGATGAGATAAGATGAGAAAACTAAGAAACGGTTTCAATGCGCAGATGTTATGGGGGTAGGCGGGCAAAGTAGACGTCTCACCAAAAACAGACATAAAACACATCCCTGTGCATGATGTGCACTTCGTCCTTGTGACACAAATGCTATCTTCAGCCTGTTTCACAAAGCCAGGGCCTAGCCAGTGCGAGCAGCAAGATACAATGTAAAAGAGCCCTGTGGGACCCCGGAGAATTTCCAGTCAGTGTTTTATGAATAGCTGTGAAGTTATTTATGGCTGTGACAGATAGGGAAGCAGCAAAGAGCCCTTTTAACTGACCTTTTCTCCAGCCACGGGAGGTAGACAGAGGTTTCGCATTTCAGGGTGGTAAAAGCGTGACCAAACACATGTTGGGGGAATTTCTTCAGCTCTGCCTCAGTCATCTTTCGAAATCCCAGAACCGCGTCAGCCCAGAATGGCACTTGTTCTGTAGGAATACTCCGAAATATCTGCCAACTCAAACACAGGGAGTGGAAGTTTTTCCTGAAATTTTGTGACATAATGTATTTCTGGTAAGCTCCATTTGACAGTCCCTGAGGCATAAGAAAAGGTACCTCTTCTAAATACAAAGAGAAAAGGATCTATTCTTCTGTTCTCTGGGGTTTAGATAACGTAGAAGCTAAATTTCAGGTGTTTGCAATTGGAGAAGAAGGCATTTTAAAGTAACGTGCACCTGAGGTTATTTCAGATTGTGCTGGCCTGCACATACTGAAAGAAATAAAGAAATAACAAGAGTATGCCTTTCTTAGAACATGCATTTTTGAGGAAAGGTTCTTCTGTTTTCACAATGGTTTACGTATGTTATAAACAAAACAGCAAAGGTCGGCCTCAGTTTTGAACAGGATATCTAAGTGGGAATAATTTGCAGCCCTGCTTAGATGCACAATGTGCAGGAAGCAGGGGTACAAGTCATGAGTTAAACTGTAGGTCATCAAGTCTGACTCTAGGACTGGAAAAAAGCCAAGGGTTGTGCGGAGCAACCCTGTCGCATCACAGTTTGTTGGCAGAGGATGAGCCTGGAGTGAGAGTGGGTGTTGACATGCAGCCTCCAACAATGTGACCAATAGATGCTACATGTGTGCTGGATTTATAAGGGTTGGGTTCTTTCCATCAGTATATCCAACCATCACTGCTCTGAAAGAGCAAGAATCATAATTTGAGTGCTAATGATGTAGCCCTGAAGGTGTCGGCATGTGTATCTCCAAGTGATTCATTCAAAGCAGTCCCCAGGAAAGTACAAGTCATGTTACTGCACAGTTCCTGGTTTTTGCATTGGTCCTCTTCCCATCACCTCACTCTGCACACTCTCTGGCACAGGCCAGACATGCAGACGGCTACACCTCCAGCTCTGCCTGCCTGCCTGCCTGTCTGTCTTTCTCCCTCTTCTCTCCTCTACCTCTCCCTCACACCCGTGTATCCAAGTCAGAAAATGGTACTTGTACACTCGTGTGCTAATGCCAGATACTGGAGACTCATCCTTGATTGTTTCTCCCCTCCACTCCCTGCACCATCAACTGTCAAATCCTATCATATCTCCTCTTCAGCGTTTCTCAAACCCACCCACTGTCTGTCCCTACTCTCAACCCTCAATCCATCCCAATCTGTCAGCATCCCTCCTCCCACAAATCCATTCTCTACAGAACAGATGAAATATAATCAGTTGCTTCACTGTGTAAAATCCTGAAGTGCCTTCCCTTTGCTGAACTTTCTTTAGTGTCTCTGACACGAGGCAGTGGACTAGGACTCAGGTCTATGCTTGCGCTGCTCCTTCAACCCAGAATGCTCTCCCCTCAGTCTCTCATTTTTGTCTTTGTCTCCCGCCCTTCTACAATGTCACTACAACATTCATCTTGAGGATTTCTGATGAAGCATGTTTCCCTGTGAGGAGTCGCATAACTTCCGAGAGCAAGTTTCTTGGCAGACACAGGATCCCACAGCACTCTGCACTCTCCCCTTTGACCACTCATATTCTGTTCCTTCTCTACCTGTGACCACAAACTACATGAGGGTGGGAATGAGTGCGTTTTCCTTAAAGTCTCTTAGTGCGCATTTATTAATCATCTACCACACACTAAGTAACATTACCGAGTTGCTCACTGCAATATCCCTAATACCTAGGGGAATAACTGGTTTTAAATAAATGGTTTTAAAGGAATGAATAGATGGACAAGGCTATATACTTATACCAAAGATGCTCAGCACATTTGTGCAGTTTTCATCTTGACAGGACGTATGAATTTTGTACAAGGCTGTTTCCAAAAATTATGTAGAGCCAATGCTTGTGAATTATAATAGTTCTTATTGATTTTGGATGACAAAAAGTATGACCCTAGCACAAGAAGAACAATTTCTATATGTGGCTCAACAACTGTTCTAGAATAGTGACAGAGAGGTGTTCATCTATGGCTCGATACAGAAGCAAAACCGCTGTGTTGGGTCAGGGCTTCTGGGAAACATGGCATCAATATAATTTTGATTTTTACTCAGTGAAGAAAGGCAAGAAGGAATGGGTAGACACCCTTCTGATCAGGCATGTGCATACACAGCAGAAATGTCAGTGAGCAGCTTCCTGAAAGGAGGAGATGGGCAGTATTTTTAAATAGTTTTAGTGGTGCAGACACGTCGTTTGAGGAACTGAGTAAAAGGCAAATACCCCTGTGGGCTTCTGAAGGGTGAAGGCACAACTGTTTTGTCACACAGGGAAACACAGATGACATGTGTCTTGTGTCACATAATGGCACCAAGACAAATGAAAAGTGGTAGAATGCTTAGTGGTCTGTTTAAGGAGATGTAGAGGGGGAGAGAGGAAAGGTAGAGGGGATGAAACAATTAAGATGTGTTATGTCCATGTAGCAACTTCCACGAGGAATGTCAGCGTTCTGTACCACACACGTACTAATAAACTAAAATGAAAGAGAAGATGTAGAAAGATATTTTCATATTTTAAGTGATACTTTGTGTTAAAAATGCTGAAATGATTTATTTTCAAACTTTCATTAAAGCCAGGCATGGTGGTGCATGCCTGTAACCCCTCACTTGGGAGGCTGAGGCAGGAGGATTACCATGAGTTTGAGGCTAGCCTGGGCTACACAGTGAATTCAAGGCCAGCCTGAACTACGTAGTGAGACCCTGTCTCAAAAACAAAACAGAGAAATGCAAACAAAACAAAAACCCTTTTATTTAGTTATGTAGGTCTCCTACAATCACATGTTAAAAATCTTACAGAAGTGTGCTAACCATTTCAAAAATATTTTGTTTTCCCAAGTGGCATTTAAAAGATAACTTTAATGACCTACAAAAGGTACTTCTTTGAAACACCTCATTCTTACCGGATAGAAAATAAAGATGTCTGTCTCTCCTGGAGCTCTGTACTCATTCCAGTATCATCCCTGTCTGCCTACCATCTCCCCACATGGCCCAAACTCAGCATTTACCTGCTCTCTAGGGTGTTTGGTTTGAGTTTTGGTTTGAGTTTTTTGCCATACATGTACCTTAAAATCACTACACATTCGCTGAGGAAACACAAAAAAGTATTTATGATGAGAAATTGGCATGGTATTGTTAAAAATCTAATACTAGGGGCTAAGAATTTAGCTCAGCAGCACAGTGCTTGCCTGGCAAGCACAAGGTCATGAGTTTGATTCCCAGTACTGGAAAAAAAAAAAAAAACCAAAAAAAAGAAAAAAAATCTAATACTAGAATTTGTCTTCCTCAAGATCCTTAGAATAAAGTCCAAAATGTCCTTTCCAAACCCTCCCAAACTAATTCACCACAGATACTCAAAAGTATTTTATGTTGAACGCTATAATCGTCAGATTCTTCTAAGTTCTAAAATAACCTCAGCTTCCCTCTCTTACCCAGAGACCAGGTGAACCCCAGCATCTACAGCTTCAGCGGAGCTGGCGATGGAGGACAGGTGATTGAAGGTCTCTCTGAACCACCGCTTCTGCGTGTCGATGGGTGTATCTGTAGTTGGGGAGGAAGGCAAAGAGACAGAAAGGAAAACTATGATGATGATTATGCTTATGGAAAGCTCTTCCTTAGAAAGTAGGAAAAAAGTAAGGAGTCATGGAAAAGCGTTTAGGTCAATTACCCCAGTGGTGGAGGATGCTGTGGCAACCAGCTTTGAATACTGTCATGTGCTATCCAAGTGTGCTCACACGACCATTAAATCTATGGAGGGCAACAGGCCATGCAGGGCAAAGCTTAAAACGGGAGCCACCTGGGAGGTGCTCTTTGGCACAAGGTATACTCCCAAGGTCCCTGGAGGGTCCCGAGCCAGCCTGAGCAACAGTAAGTTCATGGCTGAGATATCCAGCTGGACACATACTTGAGATGCCAGGAGAAAGCTCAGGGTCTCTGTCCTGGGGGCTGAAAGTATGATGGGTGGTGGGCAGGGGTTTTATAGGGCCCAGGCCACCAGGACAGAAAACAAACTGCATCAATTTGGAAAGCCCAGGGGTCACACTCCTAATACAAGGAAACAAGACCTGCACTATGGAGGTAAGCTCTGCAGGGCAAATTTCCCCACCAGGGCTGCAGTACCCCCACACAATGAAATCATGGACCAAAATCAGCAAGTCACTGTGGGAACCACAGCATTGCCCAGGCATCTCTGCCCATGCACAAGGGATTGCACCTGGACACATCTTCTGGAACAGTGACAAGCCTTTGAGAGAGAAAGGAAAGAAGAGGCATGGCTTCAGCCCTAAAGCAATAATGTCCAGTGCAGACAGAGAGAGCGAGCACAACCCACAGGCACAGACAAATTCAACTGTGGGTGAAGGCTGTGGCCATCCGGTTCTGGGGGATGGCTATGAGGGAGTCCAGGGTCAGACCAGGGCCTGGGAACAGCAACCTTGAGGGAGCTGCGGCAAAGGGGCTGTTGGGTGCGTTCCAGTTGGAGAGGTATCCCTGAAATTCATGGGATAGACAGAAAGACTCAGAGACACTCTACTCCCCAGACAACCCCCTTTGGTCAATGAAGGAGTATCAGCAACCAGGTTATAAAATAATTCACTTTCTACAGAACTGACGAATGTTTTAAATACTGGATCTACCCTGTCATCTTTGCACATGTGCTGTTGTGAATTCCATTGTATTCCCAAATTGCAGGCAAAGGTTACTGGCTTAGAAATAAGCAGAAATAAACGATAGCTGCAGAAAGAGCTATGCTAGACCTCAAACAGATAACAGATAACCCCGATAATCTATGCCAGCGTGGAGGAGTACTGAATGCATCCCTTCATTCCCACCCCAAACTTAAAACAGTGGCCAAGATTCACATGATGCAGAAGTCATCCCTGAAGAACAGACAATTTCAGCCCAGCAGTGGGCTGAACAAGCCTTGGGATCTAATTCATGTTCAAATGTGGGAAAGGAAAACCGTGGCAGAGTGCAGGGAATAATCGCAAGTGCTGATGTAGTGGTGTGTGCTGGGTACTCTTTTGGGTGCTCTGTATATAAACTCACTTAATCCTTACAACCACCATATGGGAGAGGCATGGTCCCCATGTAGCCGTGGTGGCGAACCTAAGGCACACATGCTGCCGCAGCCTATTTGTATCATTGAAAGCTCTGAAAGGTTCGCCATCACTGCCAGGTGGTATTGACATTTGTGAAGATAGGAGATATTTACTCCTGGGACTAGACTGAATTCTGTCGAGGAAAGAACCTCAAAGAGAAGACCAAAGTCTTTAGCAGCACCAGAGAAAGACCCTGGTTAGGACACCCAGGTGAAGAGAAAACACTGGCCTCCACAGTCTAGACCTTCAGAGGAGCCTCCCTCTTCAATGATCTGTGCAACCAGGTAGCTTCTGACCATTCACTCAGGGTGGGTGCAAGTCTAGGGGCTCTAGGGAATGGTCACAAGAGGTCTAGACAAAGACAGCACCTCGCGTGAACTAGCACCCAGTTCCTGTGCTTGTTTCCGGCCAGGGAGCTCAAGTTGCGACCAAGTTCCTGATGCAGCCAAGCTCTTGGACACTGGGTCACTGCCCTCCCCGCCCTGGTAGAACATGGACTGATTCCCTGATAGGTGAAACGGTGGCATCTGGAATGGGAAACACCAAGCACAGGCAAAGGCAGCGATATGAGCTGAAAACAGGAGCACGGGAAACACGCAGCCTCGATGCTGAGGTCCCACCTGCTCTCCCCGGTCCTTCTAGACTGCTGAGCCCAAGCTTTCACCCTCCCCAGGAAGGAGACTGGAAACTTCTTCCCTGGGAACATGCCCCACACCAGAAGAAAGACTTGAACATGATGTCAGAAGGCCTCTCCTGCTAAACGGCCCTGGCATCTCACACTAATGAAGCTCACAGGCAATAAGCTCTGGGAAACTCCTGTTGCCTTTCATGTCCTCAGGCAGGCCAAGGAAATCTCTGTCATGAGGACATCATGACAGAAATGAGGACATCATTGTCAAGAAAAATGTAACTTGGACACAGAAACTGTGCAGGGATGAGCGTGGTGGTGCACACCAGTAATCCTAGCACTTGGGAGGCTGAAGCAGGAGGATCATTGGGAGATTGAGACTGGGCTATACAGTGAGTTCAAGGCTAGTCAGAGCTGCATCATGAGATCCTGTCTCAAAAGACAAAACAAAAACAAACAAAAAAGGAAACTATGCATTATTAGTACCGTCAGAAAGAAAAACAGAACACAATGCTCAATGCACGTGTGATGTGAGCAAAATGAAGCCTTTGCTTCTCGTGCTGCTGCAATTTGGAAATTGTTTCTGTACTGCGGCCTCACTGAGCCTTTCCCAGCAGACCATCGAGAGGAGGTCACAGCTGCAGGACGCTTCCATAGCGGCCTTCTGGGCGGACAGACTTCCGCCTGTGTATCAGAGGAGCTGAGATCCCTCTCTCACCTGGATATGCATGAGGAATGAGGATCCCGGCAGCCACATCACTGGTGGTGTCCGGAGTAAACTTGTCCGAGATGATGGTGACGGAGCACTGGGGGACCAGCTGGGAAATGCACACAGCAGTGGAGAGCCCTATCACGCCCGCTCCAACGACAGCGATCCGCACCGTGTCCATGGGCCTGCAAGGAGGGAAACGGGGCTCGTTGTAGGGAAGATTCCCTTCAGGCAGGTTAGCCCTGACCATTCTTCCCTAGGCTGGTGGCCTCTCAGAATAAGACCTTTCCAACTGGAATCCCTTGTGGACCACAGTGTAGCGAACACTCTTTCCCCTAGGTACTCGCCCGAGCAGCCAGGACTTGCCTGTAGCACACACCAGTAAGTCGGTCTGCATTTGGGAGATTTCTCCTCCTTCTACCCTGTCCTGAGCTTGTTCCCTGAGGTAACCGGCTGGGGGAGGTCAGAGAGAGAGGAAACCAAGGCAGGGAAAACAGCAGAACTGTGGCCTCTGTCTGCAGAACTCACTGCGGAGCAGCACGAGAGGGAATGGCCCTGAGCAACCTGGACCTCAGCTCTTGGCCTTTACGTGCTTTCTCGGATTGATCATTCAGCATCTTGTCCCCTTGCCCACCTCCCTGCCTCTGTCACCGCCTACCCCTGCCCCACTCCTGCTCTGCCTGGCTCCTGGCCACCCCCCCCTTGGACAGCCTGCTTCTTGTCAGGAGCTGGTTCTGGTAATCTGGTAACCTACAGGGTAACCTGTGCCTCAAGGGCCTCATTTGTAAGAAATTGGATAAATTCTTATTTCCTCCCGCAGGTATCGAACAAGAGAGGCCGGAGAGGCTGCCTGCTAAGGGACACCTTGTAGAAACACAAGGGACAATGGCTGCGCATCCCGAGCCAGCCATGGGTGTGGAAGCTGGAGTGGCTGAGGCCTCAGCGCCAGGCCAGCCTTTCCCCGGGGCAGTGGAAGGCCACACCGGACGCTGTCCTTGCCTGCCTTGGGCCCTTGCCTGCCTTGGCTGCCCTGTATATCTTTCCCTATTTGCTCCTGCTCTCTGTCTGATTCAGGTTCAAACCCTAGAGAGAACAAATACAAGTGTTCCAGTTAGTCATTGCCACCCTTTGGGGCAAAGTTCTAGCATTAGGCCAACTGATGGGGCTAAGTCAGCCTTCAAATCTCCTGCACTGGGCATAATCCCCCTTCCCCCTGCAAGAGCAATGGTCAGGAAGAAGGGTCACGTGGAACAAGCCGTGCCTCCACACATAGAGATGCACCTTTGCTCAGGAGGGCTATGGGCAAGGCAAACGGGGTGGAGTCGGCTGTCAGTGGACTCCACCACCTGTTCTGGCTCTCAAAGTCTGTCTTCCTATATACTTTAAAGCCTTGCAGTGAGGTTTAAAGTCCATTATTTCTAATTCTCAAGCAGCGTATGCGTTTCCGAGGCCACTGGTTAATCTAGGCAGGCTAGCTGAGAAAAAGCAGGAATACAGAAACAGAGGGAAGACAAGAGAAAGGTTTCGTGCCATCCAGTGGGGAAGACGTGGGCAGCATGGCCCTGTGCGTGCTGCCTGGAGGCAGAAGGCAGACGCCCTGCCCTGGCTTTACTATTTCATATTAACTTCCCCTGCCGCACGCTTTCTCAAAGTACAGTAGCTCTAATACATTAACTTGGGAGTGAAAGTTATCTGCAGCTAAAGTAACCTGCTGCCAGAGGGGAGAGGACCGAGCTAGCAGGGCAGGGTATGCCCTGGAGCAGTGATCTTTTGACCCCACTAAAACACCCCCAACCCCTAGACCACACACCGAATGAGCCGTGCACCCAGAGCAGGGGAATCTGAGTACCTGCCTCTGGAAAAGCAGCCTCGGGACACGCCAAAGGCTCTGGCACCAAAACTTGTTTTCCAGCGTCCGCTTGGTCAAGTGCCCCGAGAGACAGAAGGAAAGCAAAACTGCTTCCCATTGGGGAATTTATTAAGGACATTCGCTCTAATCTTACTCTCCATTGGCTCATGAACTGTGTCTCTCTCACTGATTCCCTAGGTTAAAGGAACAGGTGACCTCATCTTGTGAGCTCCCCGGAGCTGTGTCTCTGCCAGGTCCCCAGAGCTGGGTAGCCCCTGGCAGCCCTCGCCTATCTGGCTCAAAAGCCCTGCATCTCTCTGCCAGCCTGGGGTTTCTCCAGCTGATTTATGTGTGTGCTAAATAACGGGTGGTCTTTCCAGCATCCGGCAAGGTCCAGCCAGAGTAAACGTCGCTTATCTCTGGACTACCCAGCATTAGCCACCCCTCTCCCCTGGGTGCAGATCCTGCTGGCCAGCTGTGGGGGCAGGGCAGACACTGGAGTGAGGGCCATACACGGAATGTTGATTACTACAGTGGTGGCCTGATCTCAGCTGGAAAACTTATTCAAGAGATAATTTAAGATAGAACCCAAATATTTAAAGAAGGTAACCAGTGTTTGCTGAGTGTCTAGTACGGGCTGAGTGCTGTGCACTTTCATGTGAAGTTTAAGCTCAAGCTAGACAGGACACTGATTTCCAGGGAGGCAATTTGATGCCTCAAGCCAGTGATTATAATATTTTAACTAACATAAAATATTTACCATTAGACTTTTGCTAGCGCAAAGTAGGAGCTACATACCATTATTATGTCCCCCATTCTACAGGTGAGTTCAATGATGTGGCAAGACAATAAGAGGGGTCCAGGATTTCCTCAGTGGCAGAGCCCAGTCTGAGTATCAGACTCCAACCCTCAAGCTCATAACCAAACTTGCACTTCATTATCAGGAGTGCTGTCAGTCTTACCTTGAGAGTCACCTAACTTCTGAGTTTGCTTCTCCTTTTGTGAAGCAGGTATTTAATGTTATTTAATCTCCTATTCCCATGAGGGACATTTGGTTGTGATCTTGAATTTTCAAATGAGAAGACAGCAGTAATGAGAGCTTGGACTGTTTAAGGAAGACGCTTACAGCCAGGCTTTTTTATTCACAGGCCATCATTGTCTATTAAGGTCAAGTTAGTTCAAGGACCTCGGTTAGAGAGGACTGAGTAGCAAGGTTGTCCGCCTGAAGTTGACCTACTTGTACGTAGTTTTCTCTCTGAGCTTTCCAATGCTGTGGTAAAGTAACCCTTGAAGTATTTACAATCAAAAACAGATCTGATGGGCTATGACTAGGTTCCAACTATTATAGATATAGAACATTACTATTTTCCAAGTATAAAATCTAAAGGCTGCTCATATTAAAAATCTTCAGGCAGTGAACTACAATTGGCTTCCTGCATGATGAATATTTGTAAATTGCTGCAGTGAAAAGCATAATTATTCTCTCCTTCAAGAAAGTTTGTTTTTCATAATCAATACATGTTCCAGTACAAAACGTGGGAGTCAGGAGTGACGGTGATTACCTCTGATTCCCTGCTAAAGAGAAGCAGTTACTCTGAGGCAGGAGTGAAAGACAAAGTCTTTATGTTTTGCTGATGATAAAAGAAAGGACAATCGAGCAGGACTAAAATCCAGAGTTCAGAGGGTGGGAGAAAGGAAACTGCTTCACCCCTTGACCACGCTAACCCCACCCCCACCTCAGATCTGGCGCCAGGATATCTTGGAAAAGAACTAGGCTGAGGGAGGGAGCAAGGGCCACTCAGAGACAGCCTGGGTTATTAAATAAGCCCATAGCCAAACTATCCTCCCCACTGGGCATGGCAAGTAGACAAATCCGATCCAGGCACTCAAAGAAACCGAAAACAGAACAGGGTAAAATTTCATAATCATGTACTAGCACTCCTGTCCCCAAAGCTGGCAGGTAGAAGACACCAACAGAGAGAGAAGGTCACCCTGACACAGACAATTTTAATAATAATAATATTAATAAGCCACCTATTTTTCCCACATTCAAAAGGAATGTGGCACACGGAACATTTAGCACCCTACCCACAATTGTCAGTGGGCTCCCACGGAGAAAGGGGACACCTGGGAGTGCCTAGCAGAGAAGGCAGAAAGAAGAGAATAGTTGTGCCTCAAAATAAGAAAGTAACAAAGCAACCTTGTGACTCCTGGGAGCCAAGAGAGAGAAAGTGCTCCCTCTTGTGGTTTCTGTGGGCAAAGCTGACAGTTAATCAGTCCCAGGGATCGTGGTCTTTCTTATGTGTAACAGGCAAGAAAACCCAGTGAAGGGAAGACATAGAAAAGTCCACGACACTCAGCCTCAAATCAATCAAGACATTGGGACACGGAGGTACACAGGGGGCACGCCCGGAGCTCAAACCAGGACACAAGTTAGGAGGGGGCTCACTGTGGACAAGCGATGGTCTGCACAGGAGGAAGTTGGTGGCTAAGGGAACAAGGCAGTGACACCTGAAGAGCGAATTCTGTGGGAACACGGGGTTTCTGCTATAGCAATGTGCAGAGGTTTATTATGATATCTATAGTTACTCTGAAAGTTGTAGTTGCTGTACCTCTCTAATTTGTTGGATTGGGGCTATTCTGGTTGGTTTGTATTGTTTCTGGGTTCTTTTCTTTTTCTTTCTATTCTCTGTGTTCATTTTTCTTACTCTTCTTTCTTTTGCTTCTACTTTATTGGTATTGGATGATTATAATGCTCGAAGTGGCAAAGGCTCCACTTAACCTACTCCCTCTCCTTTGACCCTTCCATCTTCTTGTTCCAGTCCTTCCCTACCACTATCTCACCTTCCTGCCTCCTCCCAACTCCTCTCTATCAATCTAATGGCGTAAATTTACACAGGAGACTGTAGAACTTCATTAAAGAATAGAAATTGCCCAGTGCTATGAATTAAACAGTTCCCTTTAAGGGTATATCAGGGCAATCCTTAACAAAACTGGACTTAGAGGAACCAAGCAAAACCAAAAAGAAACCTATTAATGGGTACCAGCAACCATGATCTTCTTCAGTCTCTAAATGTGTTGCCACATCCTTGTGACTACATAGTTTTTCAAACAACCCCCTACACCTCCTCCCTACCCCAGGTAGAAAGCAACTCCAACAGAGGCCAATTCCTACCTATTTTAAATCTATTGACATATGTCTTATCTTCTCTTCCTACTGACATACCTCTTTCCCTTACCCTTCCTCTCCACGTCCTCACACCTCACACATCCCAGCACAGTATATTCTGTAAAGGGCATTAACAAGTGGCAAAATTATCAGAACAAGCTTAAATGTTTATGACTGATGTATGCTCAGTTCTGCTGACATTGTTATAACCAATAGAAATTCTTTCCTTACAACATAGTGACAAGGTCCAACCTAATTAAACTGAAATCTTGTAGGAATGAACATTATCTCTAGGCACATAAAGCCACAGACACATCACTGAAAAACAGATTTTAACTAAAGATATCTTCATAACAAGAAACTCTCCTCATTCTATTTGGCCTCTACTCTTAGCATCAAAAAAAAATTATATAGATTAGATATAGATATAGATAGATATAAATGCAAACACAGGAACATGAAAAAAAAAAAAAAGGCAGCAAAAAGCCCTCAAAGTCTCTTTACTCCCCCAAAACAAATCCAAGGGGCACTGATGGAGAGGAAAGTAAACATGAGGTAGCAGAGCTTTACAAGACAATTAAAGAGGAGCTAAAGAAATTCGGTGAGTTCAAAGAGGACACAAGACAAAAGGTGATGGAACTAACATACAAACCAACCAATGTAGATACGAGAAGAAAAAATGAAAATTGAAAGAGCTGCCTGATATGGTGCAAGACATGAATGATGAATTCACCATGAAATAGATTGCACAAATATGTGTCATATAAAAATTCTAGAAATAAAAAATTGTATAGAATTTATAAGTTGCCAGAATGACCAGTGTGAAGACAGGGTTTCTGAAGTCAAGGATAGAATGGAAAAATCACAATGAACTACTCAAAGAAGACTTAAAAGATGATAAGAGAACAAAAAAGCTCATTTGACAGCTACTAGATGATGTTGAGAAAACCAATGTAAGGCTGATTGGAGTTAGAGAAAAATAAGAAGACTGCACATATGGAATAAAAAAATCTATTTACAGAAACCACAATAGAAAACTTTCCAATGGCAGGGGACATAGCTGAGTGGCCTAAGTGCTTGCCTGGCAAGCCCGAGGTCATGAGTTCGATTCCCGGTACCAAAAAAAAAAAAAAGAAAAAGAAAAAGAAAACTTTCCAAGTATGAGGAAAGATTCAAAAATAAAATTAAGGGAGGCTTATAGAACACCAATTAACTACAGTGAAAAAAGAAGCTGGCCATGACACATCATAGTCCAAATATGAGTTGTCCAACAAAAAGAC